CCTCCTAAGGTGTTTTTCTTGTTAAGACTTATTTATTTATGCATACAAGCACAGGGGTAGAGACCAGAAGGACAGGTGTGAGAGGATTCACCAGAGAGAGAGGGGAACAGAACAGGCAGATTGAATGAAACACTGCTGAGGAGGAGCAAGTCAGCTCCCTGGCGGCAGTGGTGGTAGATAGCTTCATAGTGCTGCGCTTGAACCTCCTGCACCACCAGGGGAGCCCCTCCTCCTAAGATTTTAATTGTCACAGTTTAAATGTACTTGAGCTCTGTGTTCCAATCATTTGTAAGTCTTCTAATGGGCTGTTAGAGAGACCAGAATGTAAGAACCTCTATCTATATGCTCTTTTCTTTTCTATGTCTTCTACTCCTACCTTTCTCACTCTTTTTCCAGAAAGGGAATGCAGTGTAAAAGAGTTCAAGCCTACTCTCTGATCTGAATATGACATGAGACAAGCCATAATTGCAGTTTCCTCATTTTAAAATGGGAATTGGGAATAACAGAATCTACACCTTATGGTCTCTATGCTCAGCAGTGCCTGGGATGTAGCTGAAGAACAGTAATGGTTACTTACAATTCTAGGTCTTAAGCTGCCAAAGATAGCCTGATAATGACCCTTGAACTAAAGAGGTTACTGACCCAGAATAGAACAAGTAGTACCACACAGGATAAAAAAAACACAGTAATGAGAAGATCACAATCAATCCATTACATAAAAATAGCATAAGCTACACAACTTTTGCCTTTTGATATCATTTTCAACCGCATCTACTTACGTAGTCCAAAAATTTCAACTCTACTACTTCAGAATACTTAGATTTCTCATTAAGTATTTTTCCTAAATTGTGAACAAAAACATCATAAGACCATCCAAACACAATACTACTGTCTGAAAAGATTTCCAAAGACATTCAACTTTTTAGCTTGATCTATGGATTATTTGTCAATAGCTATTCAATCAAAAAAAATTCTACGAAACAACACTTCGCCAAGCTAGTGCTATATACATACCCAAACGTAATAAACTGCTCACTTATAAAATAGCTGGTAAGTTAGAAAGGGAATCATTCAAATTAATTCTATGTAATAAGCGTTCTATATGTACATTATTTATCAGTTAAACATCAGATTTCTGTCTATGTGGCCTCCCCGAACTGCAGCACCTTATTGGTCTATTCAGTAGATGTGGCTAACACAAATTAAAATCCAGCTTCACAAGTTCTTGGGAAGAGTCCAACAGGGGGAGGGTAGAAGGAATGGAATGCACATGCAGAGTCCACCTCAGGATTCGGTTAATAAAGTACACATTGTGTGATGGGGACACTTGGTTAAGAATCCAAAGGAGGGCCTTCTCCCTGGTGGTGCAGGGGTTACAGCACAACACTATGGAGCTATTCTCAGCCACTGAGGCTCGCGTTTGATTCCACCCAGCCAGAGAAGTGACCTGCTTGGCGCAGCAGACCTCTCTTGTCTCGCCTGCTGCTCCCCTCAGCAGTGGATTTCAGAGTGGAGAACCTGTTCTGTTCTCCACTGTGTCTCTGATAAAGCCTTTCACCCCCCACACCTCTGGCTTGTATCACAGTCCTTGTATGCATAAATAAATAAATGTATTTTTTCAATCAAAAGAATATCAAAGAGAAGGACAATAACACTTGCAACTTCCCTAATAATGCAAAAACTAGCAGACAGGCAATATTATCAATTCAATGATTCCCTTACTAGGCTGGGTTCTCTAAAGATACTCCCCCCACCACTAATTCAGAATCTCTACTGGTAAACCCACTGTAGTTTTGATGTAATGCAGACAATCAGCCAGGGTTGACAACCACTGTGTGGAAGCAGCAGTTATTTGTCATGAGGGGATTTAGGTTTGTCTTAACTATACCATTCATAGTTGAGAAGCCCCCTATAATTGGGTAATACCCAACAGGGGTTACTCTAGAAGTCGATAGGTGTAAAAACTCAAGTCATAAAACATAAAAAGCTCTGCACAAATCACAAAGAAGATGCTACCCTCTCCTCTGGTCCCATGGCATCAAACCTATCGGGGCATCTACTAAGTAGTGCTATTTGTACTGACTGTCTCACAAACAGATCTCCCTCACCTATGTCCAAATTCTCAGAAGTAGAGGTAGCTATTAACCAAACTAGAATCAAGTCTCCAAGAAAACTCACGTCAGAAAAGGCAAATAAATGAACAAATAACATCCAAATGGTTGGTAATGGTATATAAACAGGGGGATGGGAGGGGGCTTCATAACCAAATCCTTCACTTACTAGTCACTATGTGGATTGGTGTATTTTACTTAAATCTGTTTCCCAATCTGTAAAATGGCAATAAAAACTACACTGAACTTACTACATTGCTTTGAGTTTTAAGTGAAAAGTGCTTAATACAGTGCCTGGTGTACATAGTAAGTATTCAATAATCATTAACTCTTAATCCTGGAGAAGTTAATGATAAAAGATATTCAGACTTACCCAAATGGTTAGGTGCAGAAGCAGGTTATCTGACTAAAAAGTCCCTCCCTTTAAAACAAAAATCCCCAGAAGTATCTCTGATCATACACCTCAGACTGCAGACATGACAGAGTCCTCAGGGTATAGATAAGTTGTATCATGGGTTGGAAGCAACCAGTAGAAGGCAAGTGCATCTGGGCCTGGCTGTCAAAGTCCTCTCAGCTCCTGTTTCTCAAGCCCTTCTTTGTTATACTAGGTCCTAACTTCTTTTCATCTCGAATGGCCTCAGTCATGGATAAAGGTATGACTCACAAGAAAATGAGACTGGTGGTAGAGCTCTAAGGGACTGTCACCTGCACAGTGGCAGAGTAAACTAGAAGTGGTTTTTCCCCCAGAAGGAAGTTTGAGACAAATCACTGGCTTTGCCTGATTTCCTTTGAGGAAGCCAGTCTTCTCTGATCTTCAATATATCTGCTTTATCTGTATACAGGGTCCTTCTCATTCTAAACCCACCTTGGTGCCAGAAAGTGCTTAAGAGAATCAGCTCACCAGTACCTGAAGCTCTTTGGGGGGTAAAAACTTCCCAGTTCCTCTTACTTCCTCTCCACCCCACTAAACTCCCATCTTCTACTTCTCTCACCTTGTACTCCTGCACCACCTCCTCCAATGGCACCACACTGTGCTGTTTGTGGCTCCGGGATTCTCTGCACACGACACAGATGGCCTCTTCGTCCACCTCGCAGAAGAGCTTCAGGGCTTCTTGGTGTTTGGGACAAATGCCCTGATCGTTTCCACGACTCCCTCGACTAGGAGTTGGGTGCATCTGCCGGATCACCTGGACCATGTTGGCCAGCTGCAGGTTGGGGCGGAAGCTCCGCCTGGGAAAGCTCTTTCGGCACTGAGGGCAGGTGAAACACCTCCGAGGGGCTGGAGGCGGAGGCAGTGGGGTGACGGGGTCTAGCTCTTCTTCCTCATCCTCCTCCAGCACTTCCTCCTCATCCTCCTCATCTTCCCCCCTCAGGTCCTCCTCCATGTCCCCCAAGTAGTAGTCCAGATCTTCCTCTTCGTCCTCCTCCTCCCACACGTAGTCCATGTTGTCCCAGTTGGACCCGCCCATTCCACTGGTCCAGAACACACCCTCCTCTTCTTCCTCCACCTCCTCCTCCATGTCGCCCTCATAGTCTTCATCCCGCATGGGGGTGTCCCACCCACCACCGGCCCCCACAGCCTCCACTTCTTCCTCCTCTCCGTCCTCCTCCTCCTCCTCCCGGTCTAACTCGTCCCTGTCCTCTTCATCCTCCCCTCCCCACAACTGGGTTACACACACTCGGCAGAAGTTGTGCCCGCAGCCGATGGACACCGGGTCCGTGAAGTAATCGAGGCAGATGGCGCACACTGCCTCCTCCTGAAGGGTCTGCACAGGGTTGGGTGCCATGGCAACGGCAGCCATCTTAGTGTCCACTCAGCCAGTGTAGACGGGCAGTGCGAGGGGGTGGGGGGCCGGGGGGCTTCCCTCTCAGGCGCCCTGACGACCCGGCCCCACCCCCAGCCCTGCCTTCCCACACTGGCCTCACGCGCAGCCAGAAACGTCCTACCGACAACCCACCCGTCCACAGATTTTCCTACTCCCGCGACAACCGTGTCTCTGCAAGGGGAGGGGACAGAGCTATTCGCTACCGCCAAGTCCCTCAGAAGGCCCTGAGTGCAAATCTGCCCCAACGCTCCCTTGGCTTCCTCCCCCGCCCCTCCTCACTTCCTGGCTCCGCCTCCTCACTTCCGGCGCCCCTCAATACTTCCGGCGCCGCGAGGCACCCAAACTTGGGAGTTCCCTCCGCAGTAGCGCTAGGCGTCCTTTTACCCCCACCCCTTCCACCCGCCCCGGCTGCTGGACGACAGGAAACGGCGGAAGACGCTCTAGCAGATCCTTGGGAACAGGGGGGAGGGCTAGAATGACGGAGGCCTACGTCTGGGTGATGCGGGGGAGCGGGGAACCGCAGAGGAAACAGAAGAACCGGCCTTCCCCATCCCTCGCCACTGAACATAAACTTCGGGCGACAGTAGAAGCGCTTGGTGGCCGTCCGTCCTCAAAACTACCACCGCATCGGCCTAACACCATCCTACGGGCCGAACTCACAGGACTGCCAGGGACTCACACCGGAAGCGGAGGGGCGGGCCCGCGTGAGCGTTTAAGTACTTCCGGCCCTTCTAGGCCGAGGACTTTGTTGTTTGAGGACCCGGAGCTTCCTCAAGACAGCTCTGGGGCGGGATGGGCGGCATGGGGCAGGGCTGCTAGGGTGGGAACAGAGGCCCTCCCCCACATCCTGCGGTGGCTGGCCTTTCCACGCCGGATTTAGAAACTGTCGTCTGGTCACTGTCGCACCGTTTAGATGAGCTCTCTTAACTGCCCGTCACTAAAGGAATGCTTTCCTGAACACTTTCTCCTAAAGGTGTATTCTTAAGCGAAAAAAGCGAGGTGCTCACTGTATACTAGGGTAGGTTGTGAAGTGTATTTGATGTCTTTATTCGCCTTAATACAGAGTAATATATCAGCTGTCAGTTTTGTGATAGTGGAGTTAATGTTAAAGCGACTAGAATGTCACGACATAAGTACGTAAGGTTTAGCTGCCCGCTGTCACCATCAAATTGTCTATCTCTGAAAGAATAGTGGTGGAGTTCTCTGGGGAAACTGAGGGTCCGGAGTGGCAAGCGTACTTTTGCACATGTCTACCGTCTTGAATTTTGAACCAACCCAATGTGTTCTTTGTGAGGGGAGATAATTTTTGGTGTGTGCCGCTGACCATTCAGCAAACTTGTGAGCCACGCACGCGCCGCGCCCCCGCCGTCTTGAGGTGTATTTTCATGGAGTGCCTGCGCGAGAGCAGTAGCTCGGCTTGGGTTTGCGTTATTGGCTTTACCTGGAAGAATTCTACCCGGGAATGTAAAACAGTACTAGTTAAGATATCGCTGTAGTATCCAGAGCCTCTCTGCCAAATAACATGTGCGGAAGAAATAATAATGACGTTTTTGAAGAATACCTTGCTTGCTTAAAACAAAACAAAACACTGCGAAGTTACAGGACCGTAAAGTTACAAATAGAATCCCCAGTGAGTGATGGCCGCCGCGCGATCTCCGGACGCGGGGCATACAGGATTTACCCCTCTGGAAGCGCCCTCTTCTCAGGGAAACTTCAAGCGTGCGCGTGCTTCCTAAAAGGGGTGGTCCCCACGCTTCCTAAACATTAACCCTCCCAGGTGCCCTGGGCGGTGCGGGAAACTGTCGGCCTCGCTGAGGCTGAGAAGTGCTGCCACAGACCTGACAACTGCTTGGCGCGCCGGGTCAGGGAGCACCTTCCGGGCCGCGGCTCTGCTGAGTCAGCCCTATTCCTGGAGCGGGTATATAGTCTCGGCGGCATCAGCCAACCCCAGCCAAGGCGTTTCCGTAGTGTAGTGGTTATCACGTTCGCCTCACACGCGAAAGGTCCCCGGTTCGAAACCGGGCGGAAACAGGTTTTTTTTTTTTTTTTTCCCCCAATCTAGTTCTCATCTAATCGCTTTTTCCCGCCTGGGAGGAAAGTGAGCTGTCACGAGAAAGGAAGGTCCTGCGAGTGTGCGTATCTCTGTTTTGGAGAGACAGGCAGTGAGGCGACACATCAGAGCCACCGCCGCAGCAGGCCTTGTAAATTTTGGCGGTGTAAGTCAGTTCTCGAACCTTAGCTGATCACAGTCTTCCCCATGGAAGCCCCCAGGGTCGCTTCTGCAAAGTAGAATGCGGCATCGCCTTCGGATCCCCTAAAGTTAGTGAAAATGACAGAACCAAGGAGAGTAAGCACACCCTAATACTTGTGTCGTTTTTTATTTTATTTCGGTGTTCCCAAAATCCTGAGGATGAAGCTTGGTCTCCTGAGAGGCAAAAGGACATACCAGAGTTGCCCGGCTAGCTCAGTCGGTAGAGCATGAGACTCTTAATCTCAGGGTCGTGGGTTCGAGCCCCACGTTGGGCGGCAGTACTTTTGGAAAACAAGCTAGCAGGGGGCTTTTAATCAGAAACGTTGTATTTCTCCCTGCCCGGAAAGGAAAGATCTGTAGCATCCGGGATGGTGGGCGCCTGAAACTATAGAGCTCACAGTCGAGAGGGAGGCCTAACCTAAGAGCTCTCCTCGCCTCTAGGGGAGTAACTTAGACTTGAGCACCTATTTAATAGGCTACTGGTCTAGCTGTCCCTAAAAGGCTGGGAGAGCTCCGCTGAGAAGATCGCTGTCTGACAACACGAATCATCAGCCACCCTACCAAGTGATTATAGTGGTCAGATCTCCGTTTCATCTGCTTGCCCTCGATTTCGATTTCCCATTGAGAAAGAGGGTTTCGGTAACTATAGGCCCTTATTTTCAGTATATTCTCTTAATGCTCAGTTTTAAAACTACTTTTTGTGACATGCTGCTCCACACACACCAACCTCCACATGTCCCCTCCTCATTAATGTGAAAATACCATTATTTTGCAAAACATCCTAATTTAAACATCCACAATTTACTGGTATCACAAAATTCTTCCTTAACTTGAAATTCATTCCTTTATGTTAACTGTTTCCCTAGACCGAAAATTCGACTTGTTTTCTATTTTCCAGCTGCAGAGATCTCCCTTGCATGCATATCAGATATAAAAGAAGTCTGTTCACCATATATAAAAAAAGAAAACTTGCTAAATGGAGAATGACCTTAACATCACCTTCTATCTCAGAAGTGTGTGAATGAGAGAGGTAGAGGATTTAGTATGACACTCTAGGACAATGGTCCAGAATGGCCTTGGTCAGTTTGTAAAATAGGCTGTTTCTAATATAGCCCTAGTTCAAGTGTTTGTTTGGGGGGGGGGGGGTTACTGTTATTGTAGTCTTAGTGTTTTATCTTGTGACACAAACTGATGCTTGAAATAGCAATTTTGATATTTTGTATTACACAAATACTTGCAGTTTCGTTTGCAAATTGTGATTTCAGGTTTATTTTCTCCCATCTTTAGTAGGACTAGAAAACACTACTAAAATGTCTTTTTCATTAGTGGGAAGCTGAAGCAGACAGTTTGTTTTCCTGGCCTCCTAATAAGACCTCACCACCCCAAGATACTTGGTATGGTGATACTGAGGCTTGAGGCTGCAAGGGGAAGGAGTTTATACTTCCTGCAGGCCCCTAGTGACCACCTGGAACTAGACTGGGACACAGGGATCTCCCAGCCAGAGCCCTGATAGAGAAGAGTCTTCCACCTCATGGACCCAAGAATCCTTACTCAGCAGTACTCAGCCTCTTTTCTACCTGAATCAGCATCAGCTGCGTGAAAAGCATAATGTAATGTTAAACAACCACTAGTATTCCTAACTGTGCTTAAATGTAGGTGCACATGTAATCTGCTTTAGGCTTCATATCAGTTCTGGACATTGGATGCTAGGATTGATGAATTCTATTTTTATTAAATACTTAAAATATTTCACTTTATTTTCAAAAGTTAGTAAAATTTTCAGTTTTATTTAAATACCATTAACTTAAAATTTACATTTATTTCTTTCAAACCCATCCACTTTTTATTACTTTAGTTTCTTTTCATTTCTACAAGTAAATCACTTAAAGTTAACCATCTGGTATGTCAATTTTTTTCTCCAAAAGGTGAATAGATAATTTTGCACAATTTAGAAGAAACATGATTATTTTGAAAACATGTAAAATTCTGTAATTTTCTTTTGCTTACTTATATCGAATTTCCATTTTGACAAGAATATATATACTCAGCTTGTATATTTTAAAAGCGATTTGCATTTCATTAATCCTTTAGATTTTACAGTCAACAAAAAACAAATTAAGAGACCATTTGGACCCTCGGTTTGTCTCCCTAGATGAGAAATAATGAGAAGTGGTTTCCAGTTTGAAGCCTCCAAAACCTTTTTCTCTCCTGAGAGACCCACTGCTTTCATTCATTTCCTTTTAAAGTTGTATGCATTTTTTTTTCATTGCTAGGTGTGACAGATTCCACCATTAACAGGTGGCACTCTGCAGTCTGATAAACAACTATTATTGATAGCTACATGAGTACAGGGATTTCACCACTAAACGGATTCAAGGACTCTTTCCAGGCAAACATTGTTGAGAGACCTGTGCTAGGCTGTTTTGTAGGATTATAAAGTATATAATTGGCCACATAGGCATCCGTTTCCGTAGTGTAGTGGTTATCACGTTCGCCTAACACGCGAAAGGTCCCCGGTTCGAAACCGGGCGGAAACAAAAGGTTGTTTTTCATCCGTCATAACGTACATATGCACGTGTGTGTTTATGTAAGCGTGTTTCATTATCGTTTAGGCCATATTCCTATCTTTTCCAATCTATTAGGTAGTTCGTTCACCCATTGCGTTCCAGGTCAGGCCTGTAGGTATTGTAGTACAAGAAGGTGGTTTATGTCATTTAACCTGCATTCAACGAACTCACAGTCCCAGCCATTCAAAATGCAAGAGGAGGAAATGCCATGCAAGACAAAGAAATAAGAAACTTGTTTCAAAAGACTGAGGAAGCTTCCCAGGAGTCTTGATGCTTTGGGGGATCTTATCTCTCCCAAGGCTTGCTTTTTTATCACAGGAGACAAAGGAATTTCCTGCCCTGGGGCAGCTGGTACCTGCTGTGGCCAGGTAGCCAATTTATGAAGCCAACGCAATCCAGTTGTAAACTGATGGTTGCTCAGAATATTTTTGATATTATGATTATACAAAAAAGAGAGGTCATAACAAAAGCTTGAAATGTTTTCAATGGAGAGAAAATGAAAGGTGCAAACTTTTAATTCCATGGCAGTGCCAAAGTACCTGACTCCCCCATTTCAGAGTACTCTCAGGTAACAGTTTAAAGTACTGAGTTCACATAGAGGGTTCTATTTTAATTGTAGCTTTGCTAGATCTGTAACAAGAAGACCAGAGTTGGGGCCACCTGCCACCACCAAATGCCAATAAAGTGGAGACTGGAATTGAAGCTTTAAGGGGGGAGGAGGGTTATACCCTAAAGAAACCACCTTAACATTTCATTTCCAGCTGCCTGTTTGGGTTTTTTAAGATTTTTTTTTTTTTTTATCCAGTTGCCTTTTTATAGTGAGTTGAACAAAGACAGTTCAGCAGGCATGGAGTTCCCACACAGCCAAGAGATTGTGATATGCAGCCCCAGAGCTCCTTATCAACCTCCTGGATGCCTGGCCTCCCTCCAGTCCCAGTATGCTGAGTCTGGTCTTCAGACAGCACTGGCTCCCTGCACTCCTCCAGACCTGTCCTTGGGCTGAAAAATTATCTCAGAGAAGACAGGCCTTTAACAATATGTGTGTGCAGATTTCCTACTATACCAGCATAGTGTCTCACCCTATCTCCTCTCCCTCCATAACCACTAACAGATCAAGCTGCTTCAGCAAGAGCAAGTTCTATCCCAAGGCCAGGGAGGTGACCCACATGGCACAGCAGACCTCTCCTGTCCCGCCCACTGTCTGTGCAGTGTACTTGGTCAGTTGGCTTGTTCTGTTCCCCACTCTGTCTCTGGTGAAGCCTCTCACCGCCCCTGTACCTCTGGCCTGTATGCACAAATAAATAAATCTTTAAAGAATTGTATTAGGGCATTATTATAATTAGAATAATGTATTGAGACATTAATACTATGATAATGGTATGAAATCCCAAGAAACTATCAGTCAGCATCATTTTCTCTCTTCCACTATTTACCTTCATCACTTCCCATGCCACTTGCCATGAACTGGGCCTTTACTATCCACCAGGCACTGTTTTAGTGCGCATCTGTCAGCTCATTTCATCCTTGCAACAAACATTCGGTGTGCAACTACTGAAAGAAAATTTCATGTATTCATTTATTTACATAGCAGTGAAAAAGTTGGGCCAAGGGCTTTCCTCTCTGCTGATGGGCAAGTAAAATAACAAGTAAGCAGAGAATTGATGTCAGAAATAATAGGAACTCTAAGAAAATTAAGGGTGATCTGGTACTGTGGCAGTCAAACAGAGGACAGTGTTGAATGGATGAGCCAGGAAAGATTTGGCAAAGAGATGACAATGAGCTGAGTCAGTAAGATAGGAACCAGCCTTTGGAAGATTGGCACAAGCTATGCAACTTCTGTCATCTAACAAATTGCAAATTGCGGGCAGAAGGGAATACCTCTGAAAGATCAGTATTTCCATTGCTAGCTTTTGTTATGACCTCTCTTTTTTGTATAATAATATCAAAAATATTCTGAGCAACCATCAGTTTACAACTGGATTGTGTTGGCTTCATAAATTGGCTACCTGGCCACAGCAGGTACCAGCTGCCCCAGGGCAGGAAATTCCTTTGTCTCCTGTGATAAAAAAGCAAGCCTTGGGAGAGATAAGATCCCCCAAAGCATCAAGACTCCTAGGAAGCTTCCTCAGTCTTTTGAAACAAAAAGCAAACCTCAGATAAGGCTCCCAGAGCATAAGAATTCGGGGACAATTTCCTAACATTGTTTTCACAGGTGTTGCTTAATGCAAGACTGTATAACTTCCTCTTAATTTACCCTTTTCTTAAACAATCACTAACTATTCTCTGCTAGCGTTAAATTAACCTTTTCCTAAAACGATCGCTAACTACTCTCTGCTAACCTTTAGTTAGCCATTAGCTTCTCTTTAGACAATCATGATGACTCTGCTTACACAATCTATTCCTTCCCTAAAACCCCTAACAATCCTTTGCTAACAGCTCATCCTTTCCCAGACCCCCTCATCCTTTGAGCTTTCGTTAAACATCCGCAGACATTAAAGTTATCACAAATGTGAATTATTTAGTATACAT